AAAATGTGCAAAATCTGGAGTCAGAAAACAAAAAAGTAAGAACACACTCAGCATTTCTCATGCTGGGGGAACTGAAGAAAAAATTCAAGGCTTGACTTTCATACTGAAGGATTCTCTGGGAAAATTATTGAATGATGCAGAAAGCATCAAAAGAGGATGGAAGGAATACAAAGAGTCTCTGTACCAAAAGGACATGGCTGATGTTCAACCGTTTCAAGAGGTAGCATATGAGCAAGAGCCAATGATACTGAAGGAGGAAGTCCAAGGTGCACTGAAGGAACTGGCTAAGAACAAGGCACCAGGAATTGATGGAATAAAAACTGAAATATTTAAAGAAAGTGAGGTGGCACAGGAGGCAATCATTCATCTCTACCAGAAATTTGGAAGACAACTGTCTGGCCGGCTGATTGGAAAAGATCTGTATTTGTGCCCATTCCAAAGAGAGGAGACCTAAAGGAATATGGAATACATCGGACAATCTCTTTGATATTCCATGAATAAAGTTTGCTAAAGGTAATACAGAAATGTCTACAATCATACACTGACAGAGAACTTCCCAAGGTTCAACGTGGATTCAGAAGAGGCTATGGAATGAGGGATATCATTGCTGATGTCTGATGGATCTTGGCTGAAAGCAGAGAATATCAGAAAGATGTTTACCTGTGGTTTATTGACTGTGCAAAGGCTTTTGATTGTGTGGAACATGACAAGCTATGTACAACATTGTGAAGTATGAGTATTCCTGAACTTAATTGTGCTCATGAGGAATCTGTACATAGACCAAGAGGCAGTTGTTCAAACAGAACATGGGAATACTGAATATGTTTAAAATTAAGGAACTTGTGCGACAGGGTTATAATATTTCACCATACTTACTCAACCTGTATGCTGAGCAAATAATCTGAGAAGCTGGGTTATATGAGGAAAAACATGGCATCAGGATTGGAGGAAGACTCATTAACAACCTGTGATATGCAGATGATACAAGCTTGCTTGCTGAAAGTGAAGAGTATTTAAAATAATTACTGATGAAGATCAAAGTGCACAGCTTTCGCTATGGATTGCATCTCAG